TGAGTACTTGTACATACACCATCATGTAGCCAGGATTTTATACCAGGAGCTCGCTCTGAAATACGATCTCGTAGATCGTAAACTGTCTTATTATAAGTACCTGCCGGATGCCGTGCTCGAAAATAACCGCACCAGGCTCTACTGGGACCGGGCAATCATCATAGACAGGACTATTTTGCTAAAAGGCCTGATGTTGTTCTGATGGACCGGGCACAGTCAAGGATATTTTTGGTCGACATTATTGTTCCGTATGACGAGAAATTATTATTATAATTAAGGGTTAGTCAGCTAAAGTGACAATGGGACGGCCATATAGCTCAAAGAGCGGACAGCTGATGAGGAGGAAATATTGTCGAGTGGCAATCTCAGACCAGTAAGCGTAGTGTAGGGCGCATTCCCTGCTAGATGGAGTGACGACCTGGTAAGATATGCAGGAAGTCGATAGATGCACCTGGCTCATGGTCGTGCTTTGTGGCATTTCTTGGTGCCACCCTCTTCCTTATTTCTAACGTAAAATAGCTGTGTTTGCATTTGCTGTGTCCCGGACTGAATGGTAGAGCAAGTATAATTCCAGGCTGTGAAGCATTCCATCTTAGTCCTCAGGGCTAACAACGCATCTGCAGTCTCATTTGTATGTAAGTATATTTGGGCTGCAGTAGATGAATGGCTTCATTGACTGTATAACTTTACTTAAAAAAAAACAATTAAACGAAATTCTAGTTATTAACTTATTCTGTTGATATTTGTTAGTTCACTCAAAAGGGTCAAAAATTTGTCTTATTAAAAAAAAGTAAAAAGCGACTTAACATAGTGTATCGAATAATTAAAACTTCGACTTGAGAAGCTATTTTACAGAAATTACTTTATTCTTTGATTAAATATAGCTACGCGAATACTACACATTAAATGAAACAATTTTTATTTGATTTCATCGCGTTTTATTTTAACTTCTTAAATCCCAACATTTTTAATTCATGATGTCGGGACGTCAAACACCTCAATCCCATTGTAAAGTACTCGAAAAGTCGGATATATAAATTAAGTTAATATATGCAATAAAAATTAGTTTCATTTAATGATTTTTACTTTTTATTAAAAGTTTAATTTTTAAGTTTATAAAGAAACGAAGAACTTTCTTCTCATATTCAGTCTACTTGTGACGTATGTCTTAGCAAATCTCGGAGGAGTGGATTGTCGCCTCTAGCAAAGTTTCATGCTGCGGTTAAATCGAACTTTCCTTATTTGCCGTCCGGAAACTTTCTTATTCCTATTTTTATCCCTTATTATATTCACCTCATCAGCATGCCCTGAAGGAATTGGAACTTAAAGCAGTTGCAAACTTTAAATCCTCCATGAAGTCTTCGACGTCTTACCTTCTCTCGTTATGAGTGTAATTTTTATTATTTATTTATGAGAAATATTCATTTTAACGTCTTTAAATTATCACCATCAAAATTGCCATCTGTTTGTCTATATCAGTGCACTAAAGGATGTATTGTGGTTCTTTTTTTCGTTTCCTATTTTGATTTGAGATTTTTAGATAATTTTTGAAATAGTAGGTCAATAACTGAAGGAATCCATAAGATTTTTTGGACATTTCGCATATGCGCGATTTTCAAATTCAAGGTTTTTTTATAAGGATCACAAACGAGTACATAATCCACCCACCTGGTGGTAAGTGGATGGACGCTGTAGCCCATATACATTTACAACTAATCCTCGATTAAGAATAAAAATGGAGATGTGACTGTCACATGTGATTGCTACATCTGAGGACTAAGATGGACTAAATCGTTTCTTGTAAAAGGGTTTTCGCTTGCTTACACTCACCATACGAAACACTGCGGCCATGAGCTGCTATTTTACGTTGGTATTCGGTGAAAGCGTGATCCTTCCCCGGTCGAGCCGACCCATTCGTACTATAACCATAATATAGCTGCAGCATGGCTCCACCATGTAAAAAAACGTTTCGCTTTTCGTAAATGTAGTTTATATTACAAACCATTCGTCCAGCAATAAAACTGGAAAATCTTTAAGCAGTTAGTTGAACTGGTATTTTGTTTTAAAAGAGGTTTTTATGCACTTAATTTACTGCAAATTGGCTAGTTAAAAGAAAAGAAACGTTTTTAAATATAGAAAATCGTCATTAGTTGGTTTTAATAACCGTACTAATGTAAATCCGAACAAAAACAGTTTCACCGTAAACCATCGCGCCAAGTACACTTTCAACTATAGTTACAAAAATAATAATTACATGTTTTCAAAAAATTATAAAATAAAAATAAACCAAGTACATACCCGTATTAGATTCGAAAAAAAAAATTGCTGAAAAAAGTAATAATAAAAAAATGGTGTATTTGGTGTGCATGATTAAAACTATCGATCACCCAACATGACATTGGAAGTCGTTTTTTTATTTTTTATTTTTAACTTTTTTGAGTTATGCTCGTACTATAAAGTATAATGCACACCAAGTACATCTTCTTTTTTATTATTACTTTTTTCAGCAAAATTTTTTTTCGAATCTAAAACGGGTATGTACTTGGTTTCTTCTTATTTTATAATTTTTTGTAAAAATTTAATTATTATTTTTGTAACTATAGTTGAAAGTGTACTTGGCACGATGCTTTACAGTGAAACTGTTTACGTTCGGATTTCATATCTTTTTGTAAAGTACAAAATTTCTTTTTTTTTCAAATATCGCACACCTCATACCATACCATACATACATGAGTTTGTGCTTTACTCTCAACACGTCAAGGTCAAGAAATTTTTTTCTCTTTAACTACCTCTACAACAACTGATTTGCACTCGTAAGATAATATGAGTAGATTTATTTCAAGAAAATTTAATCAATCTATCTCATATATTGTATAAATTAATTTTATTTTGCTATTTTAAGAAAACGAAAAAAAAATTTCGTGAAGGTCTGGATTTTTTGTATGGTCACGATATCTCTCGAAAAATTTAACGTATCGAGACCGGGTTTTGTTTATTTTTTTAAGAGTTATATTAAATGGGTACTTATTTCATAACAATAGTGATGTTTTTTATATAAAAAAGTCTCCATTCATTATACAGTCAACTTAGGTATAAAACTTTTACTTTGAATTTCAATGTAACTCTGAATAAACTCTACAAACAATTAAATATTACTGTGCTGTGCCATTGCATTTACAAATTGTAAAGCAGTGTACTATAAAGGATTATAATCATTTGATACCGAGATAAGTGAAAACATGGCTTAAAAGACCAGCATCCAAGTTAACAATCTTTAAAAAGATAAATAATTCGGCCCAAATTATTAAAATATTTTTATGGAGTGTAGAGTAGAAAGAGAACCGTCTTATAAGGTGCGAAAGTTGAAAAGTGTCCCACTATATACTGAAAATAGAGGTTACAAAACCTAAAACAATAGCGCTGGCTTCTAAAAAAACTACCATAGGAATATAGCTGTTGTAGACGGAGTGAAGTCAGCTGAATTCAAATATTTAAAAAAATTCATGACTAGAGTAGTTAGTAAGATGCCAGTATACAAAACCTCAACTATTTACGTAGTACAAAACCTAGCTATTGGTCGGTCCTTGTTTATTTCTCCATCTTATTCTATTTAATTTTGGCGCTTTTTTTTAATTTATCCTATGCTACTGCAGCGCCAACCTTATTGGACGCGTTTTTAGGGACACTTTTCATATACAGAGATGGTCCTCCTTGTACTCTACACTCCATAAATCTTTTGTGGAATCTATGGAGTGTAGAGTAAAAGGAGAACCATCTTATAAGGTGCGACAGTTGAAAAAGTGTCCCATTATATACTGAAAATAGAGATTCCAAAACCTACCACAATAGCGGTGGCGTCTGAAAAACTACGATATGAATATAGCTGTTGCCGAATTATTATTTATTTGATATATATATATATATATATATATATTTTAAATGGTGATAATGTAGTTGCGTAGGAGTAGGATCATATGCCGTTATAACTAGCAAATAAATTACTGCAGACCACTAATAACTATATTTATTAACACGCAAGTGCAAGTTATACAAGAGTACAAAATAGCATTGGAAACATTGCTTATATAGGTAATAATAATTAAAATTGCAATATCTTGTTTATCTTAAACTACACAGTGATTGGTCGTTTACACAGCGAACACAATACATGCGCAAGCGGCCGTTGAACTCCGCCCATGCCGCCATCGATGAGAACAATATGTACACAGGCGGCCGTCGAACTCTGCTGGCGCTACGACCAATGGGAACGCATGCGCCCTTATCAGCGGGTGTTGCTTAACGACGACGTAGGATATCGTCCGATATATGACGTAGTGGTGGCGTGATCTTTAGGTCCGTTCTAGCTACTAATTTACTCGCCACACTACTCCCCCATTGAGACCGTAACTACGGGCGATAGTAATCCGGAAACCTTACTGTGCGTCCGCTTCGGGTCGTTTTGGTGGTAGTTCGACCATAGTCACTTGGGTTTTGTGGAATGGTCTCTGCGGTCTCTCTGGCAACATACGCTGCCTTTAGGCGGTCAATTGAGATCCTTTGAGTCCTGCCCTGGATTTCCACGTCGAATGTTTTGGAGTCACGTCTCACGACTTTGAAGGGACCTGAGTAGGGTGCCTCGAGTGGTCTTCTTGCGGGACCTTGGCGGACGAAGACATGCGTCGAAGTTCTGAGGTCTTTGGGCACATAAAATATTCGACTGGAACTGCCATGCCAAGACGTAGGTTGTTGGGTCAATCTACTGACGTGCGCGCGTAGTCGACCAGCCACGGTCGTCGGGTCCATCTCCGTATTGGGATTTGGGGAAAAGAACTGTCCAGGCAAACGGAGTGGTTCACCGTAGACTAGCTCTGCTGCCGATGATTGCAAGTCCTCTTTCCAGGCGCTGCGGAAACCGAGGAAGACCACTGGTAGAACTTCAACCCAGTTTGAAGACGAGCCGCAAGTGATGGCGGTCTTCAGTTGGCGGTGCAGTCGTTCCACTAGACCATTGGCAGCTGGGTGATAAGATGTGGTAGTGTGGTGTGTTGCACTGACCAGCGCGGCGAGCTCTTGAAAGTGTGCGATAGAAACTGTCTGCCGCGATCTGTGGTGATGTGTTCTGGACATCCGAAGCGTGAAATCCATCCATTTGTTAGAGCGATGGTGCACGTCTCTGCTGTCATGTCCTGGAGTGGGTACGCCTCAGGCCAACGAGTGAAGCGGTCGACAATCTTGAGGCAGTACCTGTACCCAGAACATAACGGTAAGGGACCGATCAGGTCAAGATGTATATGCCGAAAGCGTGCTGAAGGTAGCATGAATGATGCGAGCGGTGCTGAAGTGTGACGAGCTACCTTGGATCGTTGACAGTGCTGGCACTCCTTTGCCCATTGCCTACAATCCCGCTTAATGCCAGGCCAGACGAACCTCTGCGTCGCCAGCTTGGCAGTAGCTTTCGCTCCTGGATGACTCAAGTTATGTAGTGCGTTAAATACCTGTCTGCGGAACGAAGGTGTGATAAATGGCCGCGGATTCGGGGTGGAGACGTCACAGTATATCTGCAGATCCTGTCCCGGTGTCCTAAGCTTCTCCAACTTCAGGGCAGAGCCGTTCTTCAGCAGATCATGTAGCTCGCTATCGGTGTCTTGCTCACTGGCTAGGGACTGGTAGTCTAAGGGCATAGAAATTTCATTAATGCGGGACAGAGTATCAGTGACTATATTATCCTTTCCGGCGATATATCTGATGTCCGTGGTAAACTGGCTGATGAAGTCAAGGTAGCGAAACTGGTGTGGCAAGCAACTCGTTCGGTGCGTTGTAAAAGCAAACGTCAGTGGCTTGTGGTCTGTTATAATCGCGAAATTTCGTGCTTCGACCATGAAGCGGAAGTGTTTGATGGCTTCATAGATGGAAAGAAGTTCGCGATCATAAGGGCTATACTTCCTCTGGCTTGGACTTAGCTTCATGGAAAAGAATGCCAGTGGTTTCCATTCGTTGTCCTGGTATTGCTGCAGGACTGCCCCTATTGCTGAATCTGAAGCATCTGTATGAATCGCCAACTCTGCTTGTGAATCAGGGTGTACCAATAGTGTGGCTTCAGAAAGACTATTCTTGCAGTTATTAAATGCTTCCAACAGAGCGGGTGTCATGTTGATAGGTTGCGAACCTTTCGTCTTTGGGCCAGCAAGCATTTGGTTCAGTGGAGCTTGAATGGTAGCTGCATTTGGGATTAAGCGGCGATAAAAGTTTACCATTCCAAGAAAACGTCTGAGTTCCTTGACGGTTTTAGACGGTTTTATTATTCACATACCTTGATGTTTTTAAAATCGATGTTTCACTTTCGTAAATATCGAGGTTCTAATATAGCTTATTCTTATGAACCATATTTCATCCCTACCGCCATACCAATATTCTCAAGATACAACATAGCGCGTTGAGCTTACGGCATGCTATGAGGATGTTGAAAGTGTACTTGGCGTGAGACACTACAGTGTTTCCGGATATCTTCAAAATGATTATTTATTCGATATATATATATTTAAATGGTGATAAAAAAACATCAAAAATATCTATATATTTCTATTTACTTTCATGTTTTTAGAATAGAAAAGAATATTTTTTTATTCAATATACATTACATGAGCAATTTTTATTGAAAGTCATTTTCACATTGGAAGAACCAACAAGAAACCCAGCGGGACTTTTTTTTAAAAATAAATTTCTCATTCCCAGAGGTTATTATCAACCATGTATTCATTTATACTTTAATAACATTTTTTTTAAAATCGATGTGTCACATTCGAAAATGTCGAAGTTCTAATATCGCTTTTTTATGAGCGATGTTGCATCTCTACCGCCATACCAATATTCTTACGATAAGGTGTCTATCTGCTTAGACGCCTTGAGATAATATTGCCAACTATCTGCTGGCTCAAGTTGCCGTCGAAATCCCCAAAGGGCTGCGCAATGTGACGCATCAACATATTGTGAAGCAGTGTATTATAAATGATTATAATCATTTAATGCTGGGATAAATGAAAACATGACTTAAAAGACAAGCATCTAAGTCAAAAATCTTGAAAATAAATAAATGAAAACATGGCTTAAAAGACAAGCATTTAAGTCAACAATATTTAAAAATATAAAAAAATTCACCAAAATTATTAAAATCTTTTGTGGAATCGGAAAAGTGCGCAAGCAAAAATTTGAGATAATGAAAAGTATGAAATAATTGATAGATAGAAATAATTTTTAGTGATATATGGAAACAATTGATAAACAAAATGATAAATGACTGTATAAAGTGTTGACGTTTCGTTAATAATTAAATATATGAAGTTAAAAATTTGGAAGGATTATGTTGACATCTGATTCGAGATATATACACTGTAGTCTCACGGCTACACGTTTACATACATATACATATGCTGACCGTGTACTTTGCGTGAGACACTAGAGTGTCTCCGGATAGGACGATGAATTCTATGCCTCTATAACACGATTATTCATTTTTTTTAATACTAGTAATGCTAGATATATGACTGCGAGAATAATGCTATATCTAAATTAGTAAATTGGTTCAATGTTAATAATTTGCATTTAAATGGCACTAAAACGAAATGTATGAAATTCATGACTCCAAATATCGTAATATATAGTATATAGTAATTTTAAATGGAGAGAAACTAAGTCTTGTAGATACCACCATTTTTCTTGGAATCACAATAGACGCGAAGCTTCAATGGAGCCCCCATATATCAAAACTAGCAAGCAGACATAGTTCTGCAGCATATGCTGTAAAAAAGATTAGAAGTCTAACCAGTGTTGAAACAGCTAGACTAGTTTACTTCAGCTATTTCCATAGCATAATGTTGTATGGTATTTTACTATGGGGACACGCAGCTGACACTGAAATTATATTTGTTTTACAGAAGAGGGCCATAAGATCTATTTATGATTTAAAGGCTAAAGAGTCGCTGCGACAAAAATTTAAGGAAATTAATATATTAACTTTGGCCTCTCAATACATTTATGAAAATGTAATGTACGTACACAAAAGAAAAGTAGTTTTACAAAAATAAGTGATATTCATTCTCTAAATACTAGGAACAGACACAAGCTAGTAGTACCAGTTACTCGACTCCATCGAGTCAGTAATTCATTCTTGGGGCGATGTATACGGTTTTACAACAAAATTCCAGAAAATATACATAATTCGACCTGCTCAAAGTTCAAAAACTTTATTAAACTAAGTTTGTATAAAAAGGGTTATTATAATATTAAGGAATTTATGGATGATAATAACACCTGGAAATATCGCTACCAAGCTATTTCTAATTTGTTGTGTTGTTAATTTGTGTAACATCATGATTGTAAGCTGTTATTTTAAAAAAAAAGTCCCGCTGGGTTTCTTGCTGGTTCTTCCCAGGACAGAGGTTTTTTCCGAACCAGTGGTAATCAAACAAAAGAGTGACATTCAATAAGTATTATTTATAATCTATATTGAATAAAAAAGTTTCTGTTTCTATTAAACATTACTAATATTCGCTTTAACCACTTCTAGTAAGTTCACGACAGTAGTCGAAAGGCGGATTCGAACCGACGACCTTTCGAGTTCGCGGTCCGCGCCCTGTCATTAGGCTACTGACGCTTCTAAGAATAAATCTTAACTATAATATAAATATTGAAACTAGACAGGAATCACAATCGAGCTGAGAAGTTATAAAATAAATTTAAATTTTATCAGTATATAATAAATAAAATTATTATTTAAATTAAATATTAAATTATTAGGTGAAATTTTAATTTAAATAAAATTTATATAAATTTTATGATTTATTAAATTTTATAAAAAACTAGGATTAGATACCCTATTATTAAAAATTAAATTTATAATACTAAAATAGTAGGTAATTATTTATTGAAACTTAAATAATTTGGCGGTATTTTAGTTCATTTAGAGGAAACTGTTTAATAATTGATAATCCACGAATAAATTTACTTAATTTATTATTTTGTATATCGTTGTTAAAAAAATATTTTTTAATAAAAATAATATTTTAAAATTTTTATTTAAAATTAATTATTCTATAAAAATAATTAATAAATGTAGTTATTCTATAAAAAGCCTTTTTACTGGTAACGTGGTATTCCATCTTAGTCCTCAGCGGTGACAATGTATTTGCATTTTGATTCTTAATCAAGGATAGATGTAGACTTTGGACTGTAGCTTCCACTTACCGTCAGGTAGCCTATAAGCTCGTTTGACACCATTATTAAAAAAAATTATAAACAATATTTTGCTTAGAGTGAATGGGATGTGTTATTTTTTGCTTACACCTTCCCAAGCGAGTCATTTGTTTTCCGGAATAAAACATTGCATGTTTAGTTCCGCATTTCTCGTTGTCTAAAACACTGACTAATAGAGTCGCGAGTAAATGTCCATCGATATTTTTTGTCGCTTTGAAAACGTAACATGAATATTTTCCTCTCTTTAACCGATTTAAAAAAATGAAGAATCTCCTTTCTTAATTCGTTGGACTATTTTTTTATAGGATAGGGTGACAAACGAGCACACAGTCCACGTAATAGTAAGTGGTTGCTGTGATCCATAGACAACCTACATTTAATCATAAATTCCTCAATTTTTTTTTTATAGAATAGGGGGCAAACGAGCATGCGGCTCACCTGATGGTAAGTGACTACCGCCGCCCATGAACAACCGCAACACCAGGGGAATTGCAAATGCGTTGCCGGCCTTTTAGAAAGGTGTAAGCTCTTTTCTTGAAGGTTCCTAAGTCGTATCGGTTCGGAAAATTCGCTGGTGGTAATTGATTCCACAAAGAAGTTGTGCGAGGGAGAAAACTTCTTGTAAATCGCACAGTGGTGGACCGCCAATCATCCAGATGGTATTGATGGTAACGCGAGTTTTGTCGCGACGTGCGATGGTGAAATTGAGTGGCTGGAATTAGTCCGAACAATTCCTCAGAGCACTCCCCGTGATAGATGCGATAAAATACGCAAAGAGATGCAACATCTCTACGCAGTGCCAGTGTATCGAGCCGATCGGAAAGAACTCGGTCGTCGACGATTCGAATCGCTCTGCACTGGATGCGGTCAAGTGGAAGGAGCTGGCACTGGGGTGCCCCGGCCCAGAGATGAGAACAGTATTCCATGTGGGGCCGAACTTGCGCTTTGTAAAGTTGCAAGCGATGTGCCGGCATGAAATACTGTCTCGCTCTGCTGAGCACGCCAAGCTTTTTAGAGGCCAATTTGGCCTTCCCTTCCAAGTGACCACGAAACTGCACGCTATTCGATATGTCGACGCCAAGGATTCCGATACTGGCTGAGGCAGCAGGGGGAGTGCCTTGAAACTTAGGAGATACGACAAAGGGGTTCTTTTAAGCGGTAAACGCGCAAACATGTGTCTTCTGGGGATTGAACTGGACTAGATTTAGTCAGCCCCAATCCGAGACTTTGTTAAGCAAAGACTCGACTTCAGACACAAGTTTTTCCCGGTACTCGGCGACGTTTTCCCGAGAAATATTGGCACGGCCGATATATAAGGCATCCCCAGTGCTGTCGTCTGCATAGTAATGAATGCTACCAGTTAGCAACATATCATTGATATGCAGGAGAAACAGCGTTGGTGATAGCACGCAGCCTTGTGGAACACCAGCGTAGATAGGCTTGTAATCAGAGCATGCACCGTCTACTACGACCTTGATGCTCCGATCAGCAAGGAAACTGGTGATCCATTTGCACAATTTCTCGGGAAGCCCATAGGAAGGAAGCTTCGAAAGAAGCGCCTTGTGCCAGACCCGATCGAAGGCCTTCGCTATGTCCAAACTAACGGCCAATGCCTCCCCCTTGGACTCTACTACCTCCGCCCATCTATGAGTTAAGTAAACTAGAAGATCACTTGCTGATCGACCCCGACGAAAACCGTACTGACGGTCACTGATCAGCTGGTGATCCTCAAAATACCTTATGAGCTGGCAGTTTATAATGGATTCCATTACTTTGGAGAACAAGGAGGTGATGGCAATAGGCCTGTAGTTGGACGGGTCTGAGCGGTCGCCTTTTTTAGGGATCGGGTGGACCAAAGCTGTCTTCCATGAATTCGGGACTACGCCTTGGGAGTAGGAGTACCGGAAAAGACGCGATAAAACCGGTGCCAACTCCGGAGCACACGTCTTCAGCACAATGGGAGGGACTCCATCGGGCCCACTCGACTTGCTGACGTCCAGGGACA